GGGGGGGGCAGGGGGTGAGAGATATGGGAGTTGTTGCTGTGTTGTACTGGTCTGAAAGTTGTACTTGGTTGAATCCCGCATCCATTAGGGTTTGTTAGGAGACCATGGGGTTGTTGGTGAGAGTAATGTGGCACATCCTTGCCTTCTGGAGAAGAGCTACAGAACTAAATTAGTCTGTGAGCCTGCATGGTAGGTGCATGGCTTTCATCTGTGGTTAGGTAGGATAGATCATTACAGGTGCTAAATGGCCTCTGTAGCTCTTGGTAATGGATTTTACTTTTTACTCTTTGTATTTAAGAGCATGAATAAGTTATAAAAACAGGTTCCCTCGAGAGGGAATTCTCTGCGTTGCAGCTGCTGCTGACTGGTTGTATTTAGTGTTCACTTCTGAGTTATCTTTGTACCTCTCAGCAGGTGCCAGCGGCACTAAATGGTTGCATAAAGTAGATGCTGGCATCTTGGATTATGCTGTGCTTAGACTACTTACCTATGAAGGTTTATTAGCATGAAATTGCAGAAGTGCTTTGTGTTGTCTTAATTTAAAATAAAAGGTGGTGGGGGGGGAATGGGAAGGGGGAGAATATCTTGTACAACTTTTTTTGCACAGTAAAATGTTTCCCTCCCAAGAAAACATGCAAAGACTTGTGTGCACAAATTTGGTGTGAGACCTGCCCACAGAGCTCTGAATTGGCTTGCACAGCTTTGACCAAGGAATGGTAACAGGCACACGATTGTTGAGAGACAGATCAGAAGCAGAATGGAAATTTATGAGTGCACTCTCCACGAAGACCTTCTTGGTGCACTTCAGTGCACCCTAAGTGCCATGTTTTCTGTACAGCATCAGTCCTGTGAATCTAGTAAAGGCAGTGTTAAGGCAGTAAATAGACTTTCAAAGATGTTTTGGAGACTCTCTTATTGCTGTAGTAGATGGCTGTTGGATTATACAGTTAGGAATGTGAATTTCTGTCATTGATGTAATAGCAGTCTCCTGAACTAAGGTGCTAACACTCACTTGAGTGAGGGTATGGATCATATGTACAGCTGTTTTCTTCCTGCTGTCTTTTAGGATGAAATCCGCAGAGAGATGGTTTATGTGTATCATTCTTTAAAGAACAGGAGAGAAACTCACATGATGGGGACAGAAGATGATACTAGTGAGGAAGGCATGTCACAGGTTTGTTCACACACACACACACACACACACACACACACACACACAAAACCTTTGTCGCCATGTTGGATTTTCCTGCGTTAGACAAGCTTGACTGAAATGGTATCAGGGGCCTGGGTTCTGCTCTATTCCTCAGCACCCAAAGCATGTCTGCCCATCCCTGCAGTACCCCCATGAGCAGAGGCTGTAACACAGAAGCATGTAGTAGTAGAACTAAGTCATGTAATCTCATCCTTAATTAAATGTTGGGAGATGTTAACAGGATCTTTTGCACATGCCTCACATCCCAGTTAGCAAAGTTACTGGAGTAACCCTAAGTGTCTCTTGCTTCTGTGTCCTTTAGCAAATCCTTGGTTCAGGCTACTGGATATGCTCACACATGTTTGGCAGCAGCAGGGATCACTGCACCTCATGTTAATCTAACCCATGTTAGATTCCGTATCCACTGGAACATAAGGGTGTTCTGTTTAGGGTGGGGTGGGTCAGTATTGGGAGCAAAGAGTTAACTCTTTTACCAAAATCTAAGGAGGGAACTTTTAAATATTGTTAATAATAAGGCTCCAGGTGGTTTGTCTCCCTTCTTACTCAGCTTTTGCTCAAATCATAAATATTCCTGAAGAGTGGCTGTGAACTTTAGAACTTTTTGTTCCACTTTATGATATAGTAAGATGCTCTGTCTTAGGTCTGGGACTTGAAACACTTGACTGCAGGTCTGCACAAACACACCATAGAGGCAAACCAGAACAGAGCCTGTTCTTGTCTCAGTAATTACAGCAAGGCTTTTTGCCTGGCAGTTACTTCCCTTTTAAGGTAAATCTCATTGGTCCTCTTAGAGTTGAGACTAGGGGCAGCTGAGATTGTACACTGGCATCTGTACAATAGGTATGTGCAAATCCCTTCCTGCCCTTAAGGACTCCAGCCATGGTAACAGAGGGCCTCTGTGGTTCTGTCAAAGTGTCCAAAGACGTTGTGTGGCAGCTAGAAAGAAACTTATATGGACTTCCAAGAAAGCGTGTGAATTTAAGCATATTTCATTCTTTAGAGTAGAAACCACACACTTTCAGCTTCCTTGCCTCATAAGGTGTGCTAGAACATGTAAGAGATTTCAGCTATTTTTCTGTTAATAAAGGTGGCAGGATAATACTGCATCTTCTGTGCTCAGAAATACCAGTGTGATGGGGGAAAGGAGCACATGCCTCCTGATAAGTATCTGCAGCCTACTATACTATAGTGTAATAAGGGACACTGCACTTAGCTGAAAGATTTTTTTGTTTGAAATTTTTTTTTTCTCCCCACCAGACTCATGGACTGCGCTTTCCTTTGTCATACTTGGATGCACTGAAGCAGATCTGGAGTAGCAGCAGTGTTAACGTTAAAGAGCTTAACCTTATCTCAGATGAAGAGAAAGAAAATCTTGCCTTGTCACTATGGACTGAATGTCTAATTGAAGTTATTTGACGCTTTTGTGAATTAGCTGCTCCTCTAAGTAGTATATCTTTCTCTTGAGGGAAAGGTTTATTAAATTACTTTTTTATCGATCTAGCCTTTGGTTTATGTTTCTGTGTAAAAAAGAATTGCAATATATATACTTCACTACTTTCTGGTACCAGACATGACTTTTTGCTTTGGGAAAATACGCATCAGGAAAAACAGGTAAGTGGCTCATTGTCCAGTGAGCCACAGCTCCATGTCTGTGGATGGATGAAGTAACACCACCAGTGCTGTGCTCTCCCCTTTCCTCTGGACGTATGCCTTGATGGGGAAGACATCTAAAGGTACACATAGAACAGGCCCTGGGACCTTGGGCAAAAATAACTTTTCTCATTTGTAAAGTTTGCCATCAAGAAAACCTGTTTGTTTGCTCCAAGAGAACAAAACCTTCTCAGTAAAAGCTGTGTATATTGTTTCCCAAACCCATTTCCTCTCAGATACTGCCACTGCTGGCATAAACAAACAATACTCTTTAACCTCTACCTCCCCTAGCACCAATTTAATATGAAAGTCATCCAGCGCTGTAGCAGGAATCTGTGTCTTCAATACTCACTTGAATGGGTTTTGATGGGAAGATGCACTTATTTTAATACTTGAACACCAATGTTTAATATGCAAACCACTGTAACAGCACAGTCATGGCAGATTCAATATACTTGCCCCTTTTCTGTCCATTTGAAAGGAAGTATTTTACAGGAATGTGCTTGACAACTGCTAAAAACTACTGTTGTATTTAGTTTGTTTAAAAAGAAACGAGCTAGCAAAATGTTCCTCCTAAAAAAAAGTTTTATACAATTAAAATATACATGCTTTGCATTTTACATTCAAGATCTCTTGAGTACAAAAGCCTGCTTTACTTTGTTAGGTAACACTGACACACCAAATATGGTTTAGTCATTCTTGGTACACAGGCTTTAAAAAATTCATATGGAAAGCAAGTCACATGCAGAACACTTGATATACTGACTTACATAAAAAAACCTGAACAGGTACTTTAGTTGGAAAAATATATACATATTTGAAGATGTTACTTAAACAGCAGATTTACGATAATTTTAGAATGTAAAATAGTAAGTGCAAGTAGATAGTTTGTTCATTTTTTAAATAGTATTATATAGAACTCTATTTCATACAAAAATAGACATCCATATATTTTATTTCTGTGGCAAACTTAGGGTTTTATTTGTTTGGGGATGAATCCTGTTTGAATGCACAACTGGAATAGTTACAGCTTTTGGAAACCAAAGTATCTGTCTTTAGCTAACCTAAGCTCTTTAAATAGTTATAGAAATACATACTCTAAATATACAAATAAGGAAAAAAAATTACCTTTTCAGTGAAGTAGATGATTAATTTAGTGACACTGAAATGAAGTTACGAGGGATCTATGGGACTTCTCTTCCATGCCAGGTGTTCACAGCCCTACAACCCTGCAGTTCCTTCTGTATTTGTCAGTGTTGAGCAAGGAACACGCTTTTCAAGCCTGCACCCATTGCACTCCATTAAGGTGTTGGGCTCTGTCTGGCTCAAGGGAGAGCTAGCAGGCTGGTTGCACAGTGCTGCAACTGAGGAAAGCATGGGCATGCCAAGGTCTGGACCTCATCCTTTGGGCTAAGATGTGCATGTTCTTGATGAGTCACAGTAGGGTTAACATGCAGTTATGCTGTGCTTTTAACATTAAGCAAGCATTGAAATGCGGGCTGCTAGCACCTTTGAAAATACAGACTCAGGTGAATTATTTTCTGAAGGAAGATGGGGTGGCATGAACAAATTACATTGTATTAAATTAATCTATATACAGCAAAACAAAATACAGCTACAGTTAAAATCATGACTGCTCTAAATGCAGCTAGCCCTTGTGGAAGTCTAGCCTGACCAGGACCATTTCTCTTCTTTTGATACATGCACATACGGCTCCGTGTTAAAGGTGATCTTCAGCGGTAACTCACAATGTCATAGGTTGGAAACAGGCCAGGGGTAAGCAAAACCAGTTCCTCATTCTGGAAATTTGGTACTGTTAAAACAATAGCAGACAGAGGCCTACCAGTGAGAGCATGGGGGCGAAGGGGGGCTTTGTCGCCTCATTTCACAGGCTGAGCTGGCAATTTCTGTTCAAAGTTGTCTTCATAAATAAATTGCATTGTAGCAAGATACACAGTTTGAGCTTTGGGATTGCTTGGAGCTTAAACAGCTTCACTTGGGACATAAAAGTCCAACTCAACCTCTTTCAAGCTCATCAGTGCATTCATTCTTCAGTGAGCTTCCCTCAGTTTGAGAAGAAGGTAAAGACGGCATTTCTAAAGAGCCTTTCCCATATTATCTCTTTGCAGTTTATACCCTGCAAAACTTTAGTCTAGTCTTTTGCATTTACTTTTAATACTTCAGATGAAGAGTAATAGTGACTTTCATAGGAGTGGCCTCTAAAGAATCGGTTCCCCTGCAGAAAGCCATCAGATCAACCTCCCATCTTCCAGGTTTGTGCAAAATTTTGGTATGAAGGAAAGTAGAAGTTGCTGCTCCAGGTTCCAGTGGTGTGTGACTTCAGTAGTTTGGTTTTTTTTCCCCTTTGGGTCTTAACAACCCACACAAGGTCCATCTGTGTGGTGGGTTTTACTCACAATATTTCAATATCCCATTTTTGTGAATGTTTGTCATCTATTGGCTGATTCATAATGATGTGATTCTTGTCATAATAATTTCCTCCTTAAAAACAAAATAACAAAGGAGAAATTTTAGCAAGAAATACTCAGAAAATTCTGTACATAATCTTCAAGAAGTGTGACTAAGTAGGAAAAGTAGCCAAAACCCAGAAATTCCATGAGGTAGGGGGCTGCTGTCTGCCCCTGTATGTTTCTCTCCTTCAAACTGTCACCTGTCAGCTT